TAATGGGATGCATATAATGATACAATGTATAATAAAATGTATATAATGATACAATGTATAATAGAATGTATATAATGATACAATGTATAATAGAATGTATAATAATGATACAATGTATAATGGGATGTATATAATGATACAATGTATAATGGGATGTATATAATGATACAATGTATAATAGGATGCATATAATGATACAATGTATAATAGGATGCATATAATGATACAATGTAAAATAGGATGTATATAATGATACAATGTATAATAGGATGTATATAATGATACAATGTATAATAGAATGTATATATTGATACAATGTATAATGTGATGTATATAATGATACAATGTATAATGGAATGTATATAATGATACAATGTATAATGGGATGTATATAATGATACAATGTATAATAATAGGATGTATATAATGATACAATGTATAATATGATGTATATAATGATACAATGTATAATGGAATGTGTATATAATGATACAATGTATAATGGGATGTATATAATGTATATAATAAATGTATAATAGGATGTATATAATGATACAATGTATAATGGAATGTGTATATGATGATACAATGTATAATAGGATGTATATAATGATACAATGTATAATGGAACACATATAATGATACAATGTATCTCTCTCCTCCATGCATAGAGAGACAAAAAAACAAGGGGGCCGGGCTGCACAGCGACTGATCACTGTGATAGCCAATCAGAGACTATCACAGCGATCATGTGACCTGGAATCAGGAGTCCTGGGTCCCGATCGTTAGAATGGACCCGAAGCTCTCAGTGACACCGCGGTCTTTGTGCTCGGAGCGCACAGTGTGGTGCGCTCCCAGCACAAAGACAGGTGCGCAAAAAAAGCCCAGTTCCGTGAGGCCGCTTATTTGTGTGACGTCAGCGTCAAAGGGTTAAAGCGGTTCTACAGACAGAATATTTTTTTACCCTCATACATTCTATGTTCATCCCGCTTGGCATTTATGGCAAAAATGAAGAACAAGTCTACACTTCTACTCCCCTCTAAGCAACGCCTCTCTGACGCATTTGCTTGGGCTTATTTGTAGAGGTCATGAATAGGCTCAATAGAAGTAAAATACAACAGAGAGGTGTGGCTTAGGGTCAGAAGCCAACTGCTTATCAGGACCTAGATCACCTGCTGGTGGCCCTGTGATTTCCTGGCAGATGATTGTAGTTCTGGTGTCCACCAGCGGGTGTCTCCTAGCAGCCAACAGGTCCCAATAATCAGCCTCCCTCTGGTGCTGGCTGCTGGGAGGGTATTTAGTTCCTCCTCTACTAGTGTCTCTTGTTTCCGTGTTTTTCCTGCCAGCCCAATGCATGCTTGCTGTTAAATCCTGAGCCTGATCCTGCCTTGCACCTATATTTTGCTCCTGTATTGTACCCTGCTTCTTTGTACCTGATCTCCTTGTTCCTGATTCCAGTCCTGGTTCCCCCCTCCCTTACATCTTTAGTATTCCCTGTGATGTATGCACTTCATTTTGCATGTATTGTACTATAGTTAGGTTGTTAGGTATTTGTCACTTGTATCTTTTAGTTTGCTGTGTTTTCAGTTTGTTGGTGTTTGGATGGGTTTTGGTTTCACTGTAGACAAATCTTACTTAACCGCTCGCTCGCCGCCCTATAATAGAAGTACTTCTACAGGGCGGCAGGACTGCAAAAAATCATGTATATAAACGTGCTTTGCATTTCAGGGTAGGGGGCCGCCCTATCTGTGCTGCTATTGGTGGTTAAGGATGTCAATCACCGGGTACTGGTCGGCGATTCCTGGTCGGCACTCGGCGATCGTCGGGGAAAGCTCTTCCCTGTCAGAGAGGACATGCTGCTTTGTATTTCTCTGCACAGCATGTCTCCCTAGTAAAACACACACAGCACACAGTTAACCCTTTGATCACCCCAAATGTTAACCCCTTCCTGCCCAGTGCCATTAGTACAGTGTCAGTGCTTTTTATTAGCACTGGTCACCGTATTTGTGTGACTGGGGAAGTCAGTGGCAGTTAGTCAGTTCCCACCCAGTGTCAGAATGCCCGCCGCAGTCCCGCTATAAGTCGCTGATCGCCTCCATTACTAGTATAAAAAAAAAAAAAAAAAAAATCTAGTATATATCCCGCCATTTGTAAACGCTATAACTTTAATGTAAACCAATTAATTTACATGTATTGGGATTTTTTTTCAGCAAAGAATACATTTTGGCCTAAATTTATGAAGAAATTTGATTTAATTTTTTTCTTATTGGACATGATTTCTAGCAAAAAGTCAAAAATATTGGGTTTTTTTTTCAAAATTGTCTGTCTTTTTTGTTTATAGCGCAAAAAATAAAAATGCAGAGAAAGCTCTATTTGTGAGAAAAAATCCCCATAACTTTAATGAATGCAGGCGTTGCATGATCGTGCAATTGTCAGTTAAAGTAAAGAAGTGCTGTATTGCAAAAAATGACCTGGTCAGGAAGGGGGGGTGGGTAAATCTTCTGGAGGGAAAGTGGTTATAAAGACTCAAGGTTTTATATGCATGAAGGTAAAAAAATCTTTGTACAGCAGCCCTTCCCCCCCCAGCCCCCTCTCGATTCAGCAATGTGCACTGGAGTCTGGACTATCCTGGGACTACCTCTCCTCATTGGCTGATACAGCCATTGGCTCCTGCTCACAGCCAATGAGTCAATGAGAAGAGAGAGGGGGTGGAGCCAAGCCACAGCTCCATGTGTAAATGGACACATGGAGCAATGGGTGCCCCCATAGCAAGTTGCTTGCTGTGGGGGCGCCCGATAGGAGGGAGTGGCCAGAAGAGCCTGCAGGGGACCTGAGAAGAGGAGGATCCAGGCTGCTCTGTGCAAAACCACTGCACAGGTAAGTATAGAAACACTTTAGAAAAAAGGGCTTCTGGAGCCCTCCCACCTTTTCAGAAACATAAGAACTTTCTGGAACAGGGGTGGGGGAGGGGAGGAGGGCAAGATCTGCATGTTTAAGGGACCTTGCCCAATCCCTTGGTAGGAGGCTGGGCATGATGACCTGGGCAACCTTTAAATATGACAGTGCCTGGGGAAAGAGGGGAGTCTGGTGGAAGATGAATTGAGAGAAGGCTGGAGTGTGGAGCCTGGGAGGGGGCCCCAGGGAGGGGAGCCTACCTACAGGCAGAATGATGGACAGGAGTATCTCTATTGCCTCGATGTCTTCTCAGAAAGACAACCTGTTACCAGGGAAGGAGCCAGCCCAGTATAAGGCCTGAAGGCAGCCACCAACCCACCATGCTAGCAGACAAGGACAGTGTGAGTACTTATACACCCCCTGGGCCAGAAAAGGGTAGAGGACAGTCTGTGTAGCAGAGAAGGAGCCAGTCCAGCGTAAAGCCTGAAGGAAGCCACCAACCCACCAAGCTAACAAGAGAGGACAGTGTGAGAACTTATACACCCCCTAGGCTAGAAAAGGGGAGAAGACAGTCTGTGTAGCAGGGAATGAGCCAACCCAGAGTAAGGCCTGAAGGCAGCCACCAACCCACCATACTAGCAGGTGAGTACTCTTACACCCCCTGGACCAGATAAAGAGAGAGGGTGGTTAGGCGCAATACCCAATTAGTCTTCCCCTGGGACTGCTTAACTGCAAGCTCTTGGGGCCCCCTTGCTTAGGGATGCCTTCAGCACAGTTGGGTGAAGAGGAGGATTCATCCTGGGCCCGAGGAGGTACACCAAAAATGGGTCAGTGCTTTATTTTTGCCAGTCCACCCTTTTTGTACATAGTTGCTAAGAGGTTTGTCCTCAAGTTCTACAGTTTCTTGGGCATCCCACATACCCCTAGACCCCATCCAAGCTTTTAACCCCTTAATAGAAACAACTAAAAACCAGCTCAAGGACTGAGTTTACTGACTCTGAAGGTACAAGTGTGAAAAATGAGTGTTGCCTGTCCGTGCAAAGCTTGGGGCGACCCAAACCAAATCCAGCAGCCCTCAAGAGGGTAGTGCTACACAAAGTTAATTCTTACCTGGAGATCCTGGCAGAAAAAGCATTTTGTGCTTCAGGCTGACAAAACAAAATCATTCCCATGTGAATTCCTTCAGTTGGCCTTTGGGAAATCTATCTAATAGACCTGAGAGCAGGGGCGGACTGACCATTTGGAAACTCGGGCACTGCCCGAGTGCCCGGGGTCAGTAGGGGGCCCCATGAGATGCCCCAGGTACCTTTTTCATAGGCTTTTTGGAGTTTGGGCAAGGACACAGGGGCTCCATGATCCCCTATTGCCCAGGGGCCCCATGAGTTGTCAGTCCACCCCTGCCTGATAGACAGCTTAATAGCTAACTGAAAGAACTCCAACAGTCCACCAACACTGATAAATAAAGAATTTAGCTTTTTCCTCCATTGAAAGTGCATGCACTATTTTTCTGTGTAAATGGGGACAAAAAAAAAGAATATAAATAGATTATTTGCTGTGTTGTTTGAATGTAAACCTTTAACTTTAAATGAAAAATACGTCTGGCCACTAGATGGCACTAAGTATAATGGGAAATTCACAGGATACTTAACTCCCCCTAGTGACCAAATACAGTAGTTTCCAAAGATTTTTGGGATTACGTACACTTTAAGGCCTATTATTTTGCAATATAACTTGTAACATTTGTAATGTTCTTCATTTGCTATCTGCGGAGATGATTTTCAGAGGAGCGTCTTTCCAAATGAGGGATTGGTCTGCGGCTGGTGAAATCTGTTTTACTTTTTTTTTTTCATGCCTCCTTTTCTGAAGAATAAGCCAAGGTAAATCTGCAGTTTTGACATCTTCTATTTTAAGGCCAATTAAGGTCAAAACTCGTTATTCTGTTTTGTGTAAAATGAAGAAGAGTTAAAGCCTTTGTCAGATTTTTATTGCTATCCCTCAGGACAGAAAGTAATGGGAAATCTCTTCAAGGGGGACACAGACAAGAGCCTGTCTTTAGTAGATAGTGGAAGGTTAGACTGTGTGTTTTTTAGTATTGCTGGCCATACCTTTCTTTACTTGTGACCAAGGGCGGACTGACAACTCATGGGGCCCCCGGGCAACAGGGGATCATGGGGCCCCTGTGTCCTTGCCCAAACTCAAAAAAGCCTATGAAAAAGGTACCAGGGGCATCTCATGGGGCCCCCTACTGACCCCGGGCCCTCGGGCAGTGCCCGAGTTTCCAAATGGTCAGTCCGCCCCTGCTTGTGACACCCACTCCTATCGGCCTTTTGGCTAACATCAAGTGCAGTTGCTTCATTCTGACCTTCTGGCTGGGATGGCTGACATTATATGAGGTGGTAGCAAATAGTTTCGAGATTAGTTTTGTAACATGGCAATAGATGGCAGCACAAGGCTGCACCATCACAGGGAGCACCGACCTTCATAAGCCAGTGTGCCAAAAGACATCATCCTGTGTACTTTGGGAGCTGTGCAACTGGTGCTATTCTGACCACGTGTGTTACCATGTCTGCTATTTCATCATGGACAGCAAGTTAGAATAAAGAGCAAATGTGAATTCTGCGTGAAACTGGGTAAAATTGCTGGATCTCTGCAATGTGGTCAAATCGGCGAATTTTGAGCTAAATCTTCATCTTCTGGAAGAGGGCATTTTTGGAGTCGAGCTTGTTGAAGGTCTTCCTTGTGACGGGAGTCACTTGGGTGGGGGGCCCATGGAACACAGCTCACTTTGGAGAGGTGGGGAGACCCCTGTCTCAGCTCCCCATATCCCTCTTATGTGTAAGTCACCCTGTGCCTATTAGGGGTAGGGTGGGGGGTTGTGGATTGTTTAATGCCATGTGGTTGCATCCCATTGTTCTATTGTGTGTCTTACTTGGGAGCAAACTATTATAGGATGTATGTGTTTATGTGTATTGGCTTGGTGGGGGGTGTCTGCAGCAGCCTCCCTCCTGATAGGACTGTCTGTTGGTGTGTCTCTTGTTACTAAATGTAGATTGCCCCGCCCTGTGTCATTATGCAGGGAGGGGGGTTGTTCCCTTTAATGTATATATCTTGTATCTGTGTTAAAATAAAGTAGTCTATTTCCTGGTTTTATTTCCAAGATTGGTGTCGTCTAGTCTTGTATGGTCAGCGGTGGGGTCTGTGGTCGGTGTTCGGACGGGGAAGCGGTATTGTAACCGAAGTACCCAAGTGCAGTCTGGGTTCCGTTACATTCCTGACCTCTCATCGTCTTCCAGTGATGTTCTTCCACGCTTGAAGTGCGCATGCCACTCAAAACACCTTGAACGAGTCATTGCAACAACGCCATAAACTTTCCAAATCATGTCAAACATCTCTGTGGCAGAGTTGCCCAGTTTCACGCAGAAGTTCACACTTGCTATTTGTTCTAACTTGCTGCCCATGATGAAATAGCAGATGTGGTAACGCACACGGTCAGAATCAGGGGCGACTGACAACTCATGGGGCCCCCCCGGGCAATAGAGGATCATGGAGCCCCTGTCTCCTTGCCCAAACTCATAAAAGCCTATGAAAAAGGTACCAGGGGCATCTCATGGGGCCCCCTACTCACCCCGGGCCCTCGGGCAGTGCCCAAATTTCCAAATGGTCAGTCCGCCCCTGGTCAGAATAGCACCAGTTGCACAGCTCTCATTGTACACAGGATGATGTCTTTTGGCACATTGACTTAAGATTGGTGCTCCCTGTGACTGCGCATGCAGCCTTGTGCTTCCATCTGTTGGCTTGCTACTAGTCTTGAAACTTTTTGATACCACCTCATAGTATCCTTCTGGCATGATGGAGGTCCCGAGGTCCTCTTCCATGGAAAGAAATCTGAATTGACCATGTGGCCAGGTGGGGTAGAGTTGATGGGAAGATGGTCACGTTATTTATATTTTTCAATTCACTCGTTCAGCAACATGAAGTTTGGGAAACATGAAAGGACTACCCCTGGGGTGGATTCTTCTGGGTCAAACTGGGCACTTGAGACAAGATCACTCTACTTCACACAACAGAGTAACTTTTCTTTAGTGCCTTTTTCAACATTGCCCTGGGACAAGGCTGAGGCTGCCATCAGGGAATACTCAACCATAGGTTGAGCCTCTGGTCTTAGAGATGATTGATACACCGTGTACATTTGCACAGCAACTGTTCTCCAGCTGCTCTTGGGTACCCGTGTAAATGTAGATCTTTCCACTGTAGCTTGCATATATGCAGACCATGACAAATACTGACCAGAGCCACCTGGCTAGCTTCTTCCCACTACCAGTCCCAGTAGCAGCATGGAACCCGGCTGTGCACATAGTACGGGCTCCAACCGTGCACTCGACCTTAATGCCCAAACCTCTGTACCTGTCAAGGCTCCCGGTAAGACCAGAGATGCGTGAACTGACACAGGGAAACGCAGGCTCAAGTATGGTGTAACAATATAATTTATTAAGGGTTATACACAAATATAACGCACAATATAATAAAACCAAACCTCCAACTGATAATGGAATGTACACAGATAAGAGCAGTCAGGGCTGGTGAGGGGGAGTGGTCAGGCGGGCCGGGTCAGGAATCATCAGGCAGACCAGACACAAAGGAGTAGGCAGAGCGTAGTCGGACGTTCCAGGTCAGGAACAATCAGGCAGACAAGGTACCAAAAGAGCAGGCTGGAGAGTGGTCAGGAATAGCCGAGGTCAGGACAGGCGGCGTTCATTCAGGGTCAGGATCAAGCAGAATCAGGAATCAGGCAGGAAGCAGACAGGATGCAGGTACAGGGGCTCATGGGAAACATACACCAAGGCACTGACTGCAGGTCTGGCCATTCCTTAAATACACCTCCTGCAATCAGCCTCAGGTGATGGCTGACTGCAGGAGTGAGCTTCTGGTTGCTGAGAGCACCCGCTGGCCAGCCCTGGTACTGCAGCCCACAAGGCAGGTGAGTCCCACCACCATTGGCAAGTCCATTCCTGACAGTACCTCTGGATAGGATGGGGACCTCTGCAGTGCCATTCCACTCTGATTGCTATGGGAGATGGAATGCAGCATAGGAAGTGGCAACAACATCTCCCTCGTGGCTAGAGGCAATTCTACCTATAACAGGCACATGTTCCGACAGGCTGCTTGCTAACTGTACCTTCCCTTGTTTGTGGCAACCACATATGTAACTTGCATGAAGGTGACGCTTAGTATGTTAACTCTTACCCTATGTGACAGTGACCCAAGTGGTAGACTAAGTGTGTGATAATGCCGTTTATTTTGCAGTGCACCCCTTTCAAGGACTTCAGACCAGGCAAAAGGCAAAGTTGAACTTTTTACGTGAAATAAAGTGCCACATTACAAAAGAGTCCAAAGTCCCTAGGCCAGGGGTAGGCAACCTGCTGTTGTGGAACTACATTTCCCATGAGGCACTGCAAAGATTGCAAAACTGACAGTTACAGCTATGACTTGCAGAGGCATGATGGAACTTGTAGTCCTGCGACTCTTAGGTTGCCTACCCCTGCCCTAGGCCATACTCCTAACCAGGCTATGCGCCACCCCGGTGTACTTGCAGTGGTAGAGTCCATATAAATACAGAGCCCATCAGAGGCATTCTCTAGCAACTGGTGTCTTCGGGGCAGAGGCGGACTGACAACTCATGGGGCCCCCAGGCAATAGGAGATCATGGGGCCCCTGTGTCCTTGCCCAAACTCAAAAAAGCCTATGAAAAAGGTACCAGGGGCATCTCATGGGGCCCCCTACTGACCCGGGCCCTCGGGTAGTGCCTGAGTTTCCAAATGGTCAGTCCGCCCCTGCTTCGGGGCAAACCCCAAGTTCTGATAACTTTACATTCGAGTAGTAGAAAGCGACTGTACTTCTTTCAGAAAAAATGCTAGACAAAGACCAAAAAGCAAAAAAAGGCAAAAAGGGCTAAAGGCTCAAGATTCCTCGACTCGGCCCACTGTCTCCTTCTATAACCACAAGTGCAGTGGGTCCCATCAAAAAGCCAAAGAACTGGGAAAGGCATTAACTGTTACCTGCTAACTGTCCAGAGAAGCACCTATCTAGCTAATTCCAACTTGCTTACAAGCATCCACCAATAAGGTGGGGGGCGGTAATACTTCACTAGTGTGGAGGATTCCGCGTTTTCTCTGAGTATCTCCATGAGTTTGAAACCCCACTATGAGAATGAGCTCTTGGACACAACACCTCTCGATTTTTTCTTTCTGCATGTCGTCTCATAGGCTATACTTTGGGTCAAGACCGGGGCTATTTGCTGTAAGTCACCAGGCTGCAAGACCCAGCCAATGTGCACACATTGGTACTTTATTATTTTTTATTCATTCACTCTTTGTCACTGCACTTTGTATATGTGTACTTTTCTTTACTCATGGATGGTAGGGTGTGGGTCTTCGGGCCTACCCTGAGGTTTAGCGGGGGGGGGGGGTTCATTTCTCCCCTGCCTTGGAGGTGTCTCTAGTACAACTTAGTACTCGTTGGTTGGCTTTGGCTGACTGTCAGGAGCCGCCACGATCCGCGGCTCGGAGCAGGCACACTGTGCCCATTCACGCTAGTGTACGGGCACTAGGTCCTGGCCGGCTGCGGCGGAGACGGAATCCGCGCGTGCGCACTCGAAGCCACGGGTGCGCGCCTGGCACCAATGACAGCGCAGGGAGCGGTATTTAAACCGCCCTGCACTGACAGGAGTTGCCGTTTGGTCTCCCTTTGTTCTTGATTTGCTGTTTCGTGATTCCTGACTGTTGCTGACCGGATTGTTCCTGACCTTGCTGTATTCTCCTACTCTGACCCCTGGCTTGCCTGACCTCCCTCCTGGATGCCCCCTATTGGACCTGATATTCTGTTGCTGACCTGGCGTGTGTCCCGACCATTCTCTGCCCGCTGCTTTGTACCGCACTGCTCCCATGGCTACCGACTCGGCTTGTCTGACCACGCTCCTGCTCATCCATCCATCCACCTCGCTCGGGCATATCCGCCTCTTCACATCAGGCTCTCCCCCTGCAGAAACCTCTGGCGGATCCCTCTACCATGGGAGGGTTGTCAAGGTCCTACCTTTTTACCAGCGGTTATGTTACTCCATGTGCTGGCATCCATCTTGGATTTCTGCAGAGCATGGTGGGAATCTTTTATGCCTTCAGGTCTCTGAGGTCCATCCCCCAGAGGGGTGTGGCTGATTACATATAAGCCTGTGGTCCGCACATGCTCTTTGCACTTGTGTCTTGTGTCTTTGTGTTGCTATTACTCTGTTCTGACTCTCGTGACGCTCCTGGAATCTGACTCGGCTTGTGACCTGACCATTCTTTGTGTTCTCCTTTGACCTGACCCTCCATTGCTGAACCCGGCTCGTGACCTGTGATTCTCGTCTGCTGTCCTGTACCGTTTTGTCTCATTGTTGTTGACCCCGGCCTGTCTGACTACTCTATTGTCTTTACCACTAGCTACACCCCATTGGCGGCGGCCATTACCGCAGCTGGGGTGCCTCGGGGGCCGCAATCTGGTTCCTGGCTGCGTCAAGTCCATCCCCACCATCAGGGGCCCTGGTGAAGAGCAGCCTGGGACTTAGACTCCGCGCCCTGAGGGACTTTGGTCTGTGGGTGGTGGTTGTCGTCAGCCTGTGCGTTACATTGATATTAGGCCTGCCCGTCCATTTCCCAGCTCCTGCCTTGACAAGGGTGTACTCAGGAGCCGCGACCTGGTCTCGGTTCACTCCAAGTCCATAACCCACCACCAGGGGCCCTGGTGAACAAGTGTACCGGGACTTAGATTCCGCGCCCTGGGGAAACCTAACCAGTGGGCTGCTAGAGGTACCGCCAGGTGGTTCATTACACTGACCATGAGGAACAGGGTCCGCCATATGAGTATGTCTTGTCCCCTTGACCTTGATGGTCTAGAATGTATAGCAAAGTTCGAAGGTTGCAGCACTCCTCTGTTTATTTTCTTCTCAATACATAGCAATCATAATATATGCAAAATCATAGGTAGTGTTCCATAATGCAGCATTAGGGGTACCTACATTATGGAACACTACCTATGACTCTACATATACTGTATTATAACTGCCATGTATTTAGAAGAAACATTGAATCCTTGATACGTATATATATATACACACACACACACACAGTATGTATACATATATATTATTATTATTATACAGTATTTATAAAGCGCCAATAGTTCGCTCAGCGCTGTACATTACAAAGGGGGACAGAACATGTGACAGAACAATACCAATACAATGCAAAACATGAGGGGATCGAGGGCCCTGCTCCTTGGAGCTGACAATCTAGGAGGGAGGGGATGGTGGCACAGGAGGAGATAGCTGTGGGGGGATGGAGTGGTAGGAAGAGTGGAGGAGGTCGACAAGTTAGCAGGGGGGGGGTAGGCTTCCCTGAAGAGATGGGTTTTCAGGGTGCGCCTAAAGGAGAGGAGAGTAGGTGATAATCTGATGGGTTGGGGCAGGGAGTTCCAGAGGATGGGTGACACCCTGGAGAAGTCCTGGAGGCGGGCATGGGAGGAGGAGACCAGGGAACTAGAGAGAAGGAGGTCTTGTGAGGAGCGGAGTGTGCATGCTGGGCGGTACTTGGATATTAGGTCGGTGATGTAGTTCGGGGCAGTATGGTGGACAGCTTTGTACGTCATATATATATATGTATAGTACACCCCAACGGATTCGTCAGAAAACCTTTTCTATACTTTCAAAATCAACAACATTTTCTATGGGACACTATACTATAAAATGCTCAAACAAATGGGGGTCATTGATTGCAAGCAAGATTTAACTTTCACACACAAAAAGTATTTTTCCTAACAAATTTATCCAAGACCATGTTGCAAAAATGAACACACCCCAATCAAAGTCTTAGGAGCAAAGCTAAATTTTAGACAACAAAAATCCTAGTTAACAAGAATTCAACTACAGTTGAGTCTAATTGTCTAAATGTTCATTAAACAGCTGTCCAGCAGACAGTTGATTATAAAAGGGCGTTACTTAACAAAGAAAAACCCCGCCCATTTCATGCTGTCAGCAATGGCACCACATGGAAAAGAAAATAATTTCTTTACACAAGAAAAGTGAAGGTTACAAGAAGATCCGCAAAACGTTACCTATCAGTCAGAATCCTGTAGCAAAAGCGGTGCAAAATTTTAACAAGGATGGAACTGCAGCCATCTCACAGAGACATCCAGGCCATCCACCTCGACAGGAGCGTCTTGTGATGAGAAGGGTTGAAGAAAAATCGCCATGCAAGTTCACTGTAGACAGAATGTTCGACAATGGCTGATAATGCCTAGCAGTTGTGACATTACCCATAGGCTCTGTTGCTCCAGCCATTGTTGGTGTTCCCTCCATTCCCCTGCAGCTGCCACTAGCTGATAGTTTGGAGCTGGATCATGTGACTGAACTGGGCTGAAAATTGATAAGTATATACATTATTTTGCACAGGTTAGTCAGCATAGGTAGCAGGAGGGTGGAAGGGACACTTTTAAGGCTAGTTGGTGTTAGGTTGGCCATTTTTTGCAATTATGTTGCAATCGCTCCCAGTCAGTGTTGATGGAGGAATCCCTCCCACTGTGTTATTGTACTCTGACAGTGGATGTTTCCACACCATCAGAATAAAATCATCACTGCTGGCAGCTATAGCCACCATCAGTGATCACATGGTAAAAACCCAACAGGCTGTTTGTAATGAAGTCCATCAATATATCAACTTCAGTATAATCACCCTACCCAAAGATGGATTGAAATTTGCCTGGTTCCTGCTGAGACAAATTTTGATCTGTTAATGGCCGGCTGTAGGCTGGAATTCTACTTTAAGCCTTGTTGTGGGTGGAACAGGGGCGGACTGACAACTCATGGGGCCCCGGGCAATAGTGGATCATGGGGCCCCTGTGTCCTTGCCCAAACTCAAAAAAGCCTATGAAAAAGGTACCAGGGGCATCTCATGGGGCCCCCTACTGACCCCGGGCCCTCGGGCAGTGCCCGAGTTTCCAAATGGTCAGTCCGCCCCTGGGGTGGAACATGGTGGGAATGTGGCTTTGGATGGGAATGAGTGTGCTGTTATTGCAGTAAACCTTGACTGGAGTGACATCTTGCTTACTACTATTCATGTGATCACTGATTGGCCAATCAGTGATCACATGATCGGGACCTCACAAAGAGGTCCCGTACAGCGATCTCTGTTCCCAGGGGGTGCACACAGGCAACGGAAGTGGGGGGACGTTTAGAAATGTCCACCCCAGGGGCGGACTGACCATTCAAGCATTCGGGCACTGCCCGAGGGCCCCGGGTCAGTAGGGGGCCCCTTGAAATGCCCCTGGTAACTTTTATAGGCTTTTTTGGGTGTGCTTTGGGTGTGGGCAAGGACACAGGGGCCCCATGAGTTGTCAGTCCGCCCCTGGTCCACCCACATCGGCAGCGATTTCTGGCCATTTATCGGCATGGGCCAGACAGGAAGAGGTTCAGTGCCCGGTCACACTAATGCGATTTGCGAATTGGAATCGCATCTGAAATGGAATCTAATGACTGTGAACGTCAGTATCTTAACATTTGCTGCAGCGCAATTTCTAACACATGTTAGAAACTTTTTCTGCTGTTTTGTTGCAATTTCACACACATAGAAATATAATGAAAACCGCACTGCAAATGGCAAGAAATACTCACAAATCGCGATAAAGTCTTTAGAAATCGCGCCTGAAATCACATTTAATGAATGTGAAGGTCGGTATCTTAACACGTGCGATTTGCTGCGGCGCGATTTCTAAAGTAGTTCTTGTGTGACTTTTTCTGCTGTTTTGTTGCGATTTCACCTACATAGACTACAATGAAAACTGCACAGCCAATTGCAAGAAATCGCTGAAAATCTTCATAAATAAAGTCTTCTGAAATTGCGCTGAAATTGCACACAAACCGCACAATTTTAAATGTGTGACCGGTGACTAAAGAATGTTTTTAGTACCTGTTCTGTATCAGTCACCCCTCTCTGCCAATCCTTCCACTGGCCTCCACTCACTGTCCTCCACCTCTCTGCCAATCCTTCTGCCTCCACTCACTGTCCTCCACCCCTCTCTGCAATCCTTCCAGGCCTCCATTCAGTGTCCTCCACCCCTCTCTGCCAATCCCTCCACTGGCCTCCATTCAGTGTCCTCCACCCCTCTCTGCCAATCCCTCCACTGGCCTCCATTCAGTGTCCTCCACCCCTCTCTGCCAATCCCTCCACTGGCCTCCATTCACTGTCCTCCACCCCTCTCTGCCAATCCCTCCACTGGCCTCCATTCACTGTCCTCCACCCCTCTCTGCCAATCCCTCCACTGGCCTCCATTCAGTGTCCTCCACCCCTCTCTGCCAATCCCTCCACTGGCCTCCATTCAGTGTCCTCCACCCCTCTCTGCCAATCCCTCCACTGCCTCCACTCAGTGTCCTCCATCCCTCTCTGCCAATCCTTCTTATACTGGCCTCCACTCAGTGTCCTCCATCCCTCTCTGCCAATCCTTCCACTGGCCTCCATTCAGTGTCCTCCACCCCTCTCTGCCAATCCCTCCACTGGCCTCCATTCACTGTCCTCCACCCCTCTCTGCCAATCCCTCCACTCAGTGTCCTCCACCCCTCTCTGCCAATCCCTCCACTGGCTTCCAATTGCCCAACGGATAAAATTCAAAAACACTAACAATAACATATAAAGCCATTTATGACTCCGCCCCAAATTACATCACCGATCTTGTCTCCAAATATCACTCAAACCATACTCTCCGCTCCTCGCACGACCTCTTACTCTCTAGCTCCCTTGTCTCCCCCTCCCATGCTCATCTCCAGCACTTCTCCAGAGCTTCCCCCATCCTCTGGAACTCTCTACCCCAATTTATCACACTATCGCCTACTCTACTCACTTTTATGCGATCTCTGAAAACCTCTCTCTTCAGGGAAGCCTATCCCACCCTCAGCTAATAATGGAATCTTCTACTCCTCTAACCAGTCCATCCCCCACAGTTATTACCTTTTGTACCACCAGCCCCTCCCTCCTAGACTGTAAGCTCCCAGGATCAGGGCCCTCCTATCCCTCTTGTATTGAACTGTATTGTTGCTGTATTGTCTCCCGTTATATTATAAAGTGCTGAGCAAACTGTTGGCGCTATAAATCCTGTAATTAATAATAAAAAATATATAATCCTGAAATAATAATAATAATAATAATATAAAATCCTGAATTATAATAATAATAATATAAATCCTGAATAATAATAATAATAATAATATAAATCCTGAATTATAATAATAATAATAATAATAATAATATAAATCCTAAATAATAATAATAATATATAAATCCTGAATTATAATAATAATATAATAATACTAATAATAATAATATAAATCCGGACTGAATAATAATAATAATAAAATATAAATCCTGAATATAATAATAATAATAATAATAATAATAAATAATCCTAAATAATAATAATAATAATATAAATCCTGAATTATAATTATAATAATAATAATAATATAATATAAATCCTGAAGAATTATAATAATAATAATAATATAATCCTGAATAATAATAATAATAATATAAATCCGGAATAATAATAATAATAATAATATATAATCCTGAATAATAATAATATAAAAATAATAATATAAATCCTGAATATAATAATAATAATATAAATCCTGAAATTATAATAATAATAATATAAATCCTGAATTATATAATAATAAATAATATAAATCCTGTATAATAATAATAATAATATAAAATCCTGAATTATAATAATAATAATAATATACATTCTGAATAATAATAATAATATAAATCCTGAATTATAATAAATAATATAAATCCTGAATAATAATAATAATAAAATATATCCTGAATTAAATTATAATAATAATAATATAAATCCTGTATAATAATAATATAAATCCTGTATAATAATAATAATAATAATATAAATCCTGTATAATAATAATAATAATATAAATCATGTATAATAATAATAATATAAATTCTGAATAATAATAATATAAATCCTGAATTATAATATATAATAATAATAATAATATAAATCCTGATATAATAATATAAATCCTGTATAATAATAATAATAATATAAATCATGTATAATAATAATATAAATTCTGTATAATAATAATATAAATCCTGTATAATAATAATATAAATCCTGTATAATAATAATAATAGTACCTGCGTGGTATGTTATCGCATATTCAGATACGGTAAGATGCCGCTCAGTGAAGTGTCCCCTCTGTTTGAAGTTCGCAGTTGAACTTTCATTATGTTCGACCGCAAACCAAAAAGGGGGGTGTTCGGCCCATTACTAGTGCTATGTGTAGATAAAATATCATTATGAAAACACGGAACAGCGAGAGATAAAAACAAAAATGAGAGATTTGTATCAAAAATGACTTTCCATGGCGTAGACCAATAAACATTGACTGTAGATATTTTTCCCTTTTATACACAAATCCAGCGTATCTGTCATATCGTTCATTTCAGGACCTATTCTAAACTAAATGCCGATTTTTAAACGTATTTTCGACAAATGGCATTTTAAAAAAAAAATAAAATTGCACGAATCGCGTTCAGAAGATTACCCAAAGTGATTTATTTTGTGTAAGCACTTATCAAAAACCTGTCAGGTGTTACCGGTGATAAAATGCGCCGTTCCCCAGCACCTAAATGGAGGAGCGTTTTTAAACAAGCGTCGCGTTTCACTTGGCCATATGACTAATGTGGAATTAAAGTGGATTCAACGACTCCTTTATTGCTGTCAAATCGTCGGGAAGCAGAAAACGGTTAAAAAGAATTCAGCGTTTTACGGCTTTATGGCTTCAGAAATATGTCACATTCACTGGCCGTAAAAAGAGAATGGAGCCATTCCATCGGCATCTTCGGCTGATGCAAACTCAAAATGTTAATCAATTATTTCATAAATCACCTTGGAGGTCTATCGGGCTCCGGCGCCGAGTGATGGAGAGAATATAAACATCAATTCCAGACAGGAGGGAGGATCGAGACGGCTAAGCAGTTCCCTGTGCAAATATTATTTCCCAAACAGAACAGTGAAGATAGAGGAAGGGGCAGCAGTGCAGAGTATTTCAGCAGAGGAGTCCTCCAGCAGCGCAGAGTATTTCAGGAGAGAAGTCCTCCAGCAGTGCAGAGTATTTCAGCAGAGGAAGTTATAGAGGAAGGAGCGGAGTCCTCCAGCAGTGCAGAGTATTTCAGCAGAGGAGTCCTCCAGCAGCGCAGAGTATTTCAGGAGAGGAGAGTTATAGAGGAAGGAGCGGAGTCCTCAAGCGGCGCAGAGTATTTCAGGAGAGGAGTTATAGAGGAAGGAGCGGAGTCCTCCAGCAGTGCAGAGTATTTCAGGAGAGGAGAGTTATAGAGGAAGGAGCGGAGTCCTCCAGCAGTGCAGAGTATTTCAGGAGAGGAGAGTTATAGAGGAAGGAGCGGAGTCCTCCAGCAGCGCAGAGTATTTCAGGAGAGGAGTTATAGAGGAAGGAGCGGAGTCCTCCAGCAGTGCAGAGTATTTCAGCAGAGGAGTCCTCCAGCAGTGCAGAGTATTTCAGAAGAGGAGAGTTATAGAGGAAGGAGCGGAGTCCTCCAGCAGTGCAGAGTATTTCAGGAGAGGAGAGGTATAGAGGAAGGAGCGGAGTCCTCCAGCAGTGCAGAGTATTTCTGGAGAGGAGAGTTATAGAGGAAGGAGAGGAGTCCTCCAGCGGCGCAGAGTATTTCAGGAGAGGAGTTATAGAGGAAGGAGCGGAGTCCTCCAGCAAAGCAGAGTATTCCAGGAGAGGAGAGTTATAGAGGAAGGAATGGAGTCCTCCGGCAGGGCAGAGTATTTCAGGAGAGGAGAGTTATAGAGGAAGGAGCAGAGTCCTCCAGCAGTGCAGAGTATTTCAGGAGTAGAGATTTATAGGGGAAGGAGAGGAGTCCTCCAGCAGTGCAGAGTATTTCAGGAGAGGAGTTATAGAGGAAGGAGCGGAGTCCTCCAGCAGTGCAGAGTATTTCAGGAGAGGAGTTATAGAGGAAGGAGCGGAGTCCTCCAGCAGTGCAGAGTATTTCAGGAGAGGAGTTATAGAGGAAGGAGCGGAGTCCTCCAGCAGCGCAGAGTATTTCAGGAGAGGAGTTATAGAGGAAGGAGCGGAGTCCTCCAGCAGCGCAGAGTATTTCAGGAGAGGAGTTATAGAGGAAGGAGCAGAGTCCTCCAGCAGCGCAGAGTATTTCAGGAGAGGAGTTATAGAGGAAGGAGCAGAGTCCTCCAGCAGCGCAGAGTATTTCAGGAGAGGAGTTATAGAGGAAGGAGCGGAGTCCTCCGGCAGTGCAGAGTATTTCAGGAGAGGAGAGTTAAATAGGGAAAGGAGCAGAAGAGCCTCCAGCAGCAGAGGTGTGTTAGGAGGGAGAAGAGTTTCCTGTTGGCAGTAGGTGCGGTTACTATACAAGTAATCCTGAGTCTTTGTGTAAGGGCAATGTGGAAAAAACATTCCAGTTCTCTTGGCTCCTTCCTGGGGAAGCTATGGAGGCCAGAGGAGTTTCTCCTTCTGGGAGCTCACAGCCACCCCCTGGTCTGATGGGTGAGATGCATGCCTTGGTGTAATCAAAGGCTGGTGATCTCTCTGTCCCTGGTGAATGTGAGGAATCCATTGAGGAGAGAATGGTGGCTGGAATTAGTATCTTCAATCAGGAATGGAACAAACTCTATAAACCTAAAGCTTAGAGGAGGAGCGCTTACGAAAGCAGCGTGAGGGGATGTTAGACTGAAATCACGGCTCCATGGATTCAGAAATCCATATGGCTAGGGTCCAAGTGGAACACCAAATCCAGTCATGCTGGAAGAGAGAAATGGACCATTTAATAAAAAAAAAATTGGAATGACCAAAGGTTTGAAAGAATGACAAAGATGGAAGTAAGTTAGGTGGTGGAGGAGACCTCCAGTTCTGATCCCCTCATCCTCACGGTGAGGTAAGTAGCCCTACACCTTCACAGGACTCAGGTTGCATTCTAAGGGAGATCAAATCAAATGAGTCCCTGGTATGGGGGACAAGCTGGTATTTGCAGCTGAGGACATATCGGATAATGTGCCTGATTAGATAAATCCTTCCGAGCTCCAGACAGTGACTAAATAATTTTTATGCCATTTAATATATTGGCCAAAACTGGTAGTTTTAGAGGTCATAAACTCAATTTGGTCATGCTTAAATGAGAGGATGGAGCGGTCTTGCAAATGGGTCTTTGGGCAAATGACTTATGTGCCCTCACCCTTGTGGATGGGAGCCACATCATCTTCACCAGTCCATGGATTTTGCTGTTCTGGAAGTGATATGAGGCTTGGTGCAGTTTGAGACCTGAATGGGAAGTTCTGTGGAGACCAAAATTGAAAGAGGAGATCTCTGATGTGAAACTCCTCCGTACAACCATCATGCCTCTTTGGCTCTGGAGAGAGACTGTGAGAAGTACCACACTGAAATTGAGGTGCAGCTGTTAGATGGTTATTGGCCTCAGGGACAGTACAGATTCCCTGACAAAGTCCAGGTCAAGGATCTTAAAGGATGTAACATTCCTTTTATGCTGACCTTCTTGGAAGGAAAGAGATTGATCTGGGCAAGATGGAATGCTTTGTGGTACCTACTTCAGGTCTCGGGGTGGAGGTGTTCTCTTGGTGAATTTGACAGAGGAGATCACCATTGAAGTGGTGAGGAGGGAATTAAACAGCTGTCTGCATAGGTCACCTGGACTAGATGGCTTGACGGTTGAGTTTTATAGGAACTTTAAGTCTATATTGACTCTGTATTTGGAAGAGGTTTTTAACAGTTGCCTTGCTGAGAGGGTGTTGCCCCCTACATGAGGAGCTCTGCTGTTATTCTTCTGTCAAAAAGTAAAAGATCTTTGGATAATTGATAACTGGTACCCAGGGGTGTACTGACCATTTGGGTATTCGGGCAGTGCCTGAGGGCCCGGGGTCAGTAGGGGGCCCCATGAGATGTCCCTGGTACCTTTCATAGGCTTTTTTGGGTGTGGTTTGAGTGTGGGCGAGGCCCCATGATCCCCTATTGCCCAGGGGCCCCATGAGTTGTCAGTTCACCCCTGCTGGTACCCCATCAGCCTTCTCAATGTCAATGGAAAGGTGCTTTTGAAGATATTTTCCTGGTGCTTTCTCATATTTAGAACTGTTTTCTCCAAGGTAGAAGAGCCCTCACAGCTGTTTCAGCTGTTCAGGAGGCCTTGGAGAGATGCAGAATGCCCAGTGGCCTTTGCAAGGTTTTCTAGTGCTGAATCAAGGAAAATCCTTTGATCGTGTCAACCTTGAGTACCTGTGGTTGCTTCTTAGCAAGTACAGTCGATTGGTTAAATGTCTTGTGCAAGGGGTCTCATAGCCTCTTTCTTGTAAATGGTGGGTTGGGCAGCCCTTGGAGGTTGACTCTGGTGAGCACTAGCATTGTCCACTACGTCTCCTTCAATATGTATTTGTGGTCAACCCCTCAAAAGGAGGAAACCCCCATATGTGGGGTATTGGTAGGGCTCCCAGGTGAGCTGCCTTTGAGGGTTGTGGCCTATGTGGATGATATTTTGGTGATCATTATTGGGACAGGTGAAGTGGAGCAGGTGGTCTCACAATTCTTTGAAGCCTCAGGCTGCAAGTTAAACCAGGAGAAGGATTAACTTTTCCTGATGGGAAGTTTGAGGCTGAGTCTCCTGAATGCCTTTCTGATGCCACAGAAAAAAATTACGTTACTTGACTTTGAGACTCAACTATAAATGATTAAAGCCTTAAAACATGTAGGAAAGTTGCTAGGCTAGCCAGTTGGGAATGACGGAAATTATCTGAAGGAAAAACTTGATTTTTTTAAATCTTACCTCATTCCAATGTTTTTTTATTATTTTAATATTATCTGCATCTTGCCAATGTCTCTCTGTGCTATAGTCTAAAGTTTTTTCTTCCAAAGGCTCTGGGGGAAAAGACTGAATCTCATCAAGAGGAATGTCACCAGGAGAGAGGGTGGCTTAGGTATGGTCAACCCAATTTATTTTCACTGCTCTTTCCCAAGTTCCATACTGTATTGGTAATATATTACGGACAATTTGGATTACGCAGAGAGATGATTCACTGTTGTAAATGGCAGTAGTGCGTGGGGTGAGTAGGTAACTATGGACCAGTTCCTGCTTTGTTGCCATTTTAACATAGAGATATGCAGTATAAATAGGTGGGTCAGGTCCTTGGTGTTCCTTTCCTCTCTAGTATGGTGTAGCGCACAGACCTGTAAAAGGTCCCGCTGCTCTATTCCCAAATGGGTGCAGGCGGGCATACAGCAGCTTCCCAGTTTCTCTACAAAATAACCAGGCAAGATTAGGATTTATTGCTTGAAAAACATGGATGGGGTAAAGGATGAGCCTTGGGATACTCCAAATCTAGTTCTTCGGGGTAGGCATCTTGTGTAAGAATTAGTGGACATACAGCTTAGGGGACTTCCACTCTGGAAGCAGCCCTAGTCCAGCAACTCTGGAACAGTCTCTCAAAAGGGTTAGGCAGCAACAGAATCTTTAGGATCTTTCTGTCTCAGGCCTCAATTCACTGTGTCCCAGTATGCCTCCTTCCATCACCAGCAAGACCCTATACTGCCTCCAGACCACATCCTCAGATGACTTTCTCCCAACTGTTCTCAGCAGATTTAGCAATAGTTTCCCCAGCTCTCACTGAGCTGGGACTTCGATGAACCTCCTGCAGTCTTTAGATATTCTGCCCAGGAGGGCAGCAGCCCCTCCAGGCTGGGTTTATTCCACAGTACAAGGAACTTGCTGTTCCAGGGCCCAGGCTATTTATACACATCTCAGCCCCCTGCTGGTTACCCCCTTGACCAGGACTTGGCTGAGGTTGCATGAATATTCATCCAGGGATCTACCTCTTCCAACGCACTATATCCCAGAACTTACTAGAATACAGGGAGGAGTACTGTAGTTGGGCCTGCAACCAGCAAGGCCCAGAAAAGCCAAAATCAATGAAAATCTGCTCTGCTGGATACAGAGGAGCCAAAAATTAAATTTACCTAATTCTATGTAGCACCCTTCTAGTTTAGCTAGGGGGATCTAGACCCTGATGGTTAGTGAGAAGCTGATTAGAAGCTCAGGTGAGATAGTCAGAGGGGTCAAATTCTGAGGCTGACTCTGCAGGCCAGTCAATCTGGAATCCTCCCTTGAGGCTTTTGGAGGAGGGCCTTGGAGGCAGTGGGTGGATATGAGAAGTGGCTGGTCTTACTCTTGAGGGACCTCAGTCAATCCCCAATAGAAGGTTTGGCAAGGGGTTTGTACTCCCTTAAAAGTGTAGGAGCCTGCTCAGTAGCAGGAATGTGGGGAGTCGGATGGAAGAAGGAGAGAAGAAGATGTGAGGTTGAGGAGGGAGGCTGCCAGGAGGCCTGGTGGGATGGGGCCTGCCTGCAAGTCTGGAGCTGGAAAAGAGGAAAAGTCAGGACACACTGGCCTCCTGAGAGAGGACCACCTATATGGCAGGGAAGGAGCGGCCCAGCTGATAGGCCTGGTAGTAGCAGCCACTCTGCAAGCGGTACAGGAGAAGACCTGAGTGAGTACACCTGCCCCCCCTGGGCGGATAGGGGAAGGAGCACTTTGGTGGAAATCCAAATTAGCCCTCTGCTTGTGACTGTACACCTTACCCATTTAAAGGAACAGATGCCAGATCCCCTGCTCAGAAGAAAGTCTCCAGATTGCTGGATGAAGAGGAGATCATCTAGAGTCTGGGGTAGTACAACTGGAGCCGCTGGCTAGCAAACCAACAGAGACTGTGTGTCAGAGAAAGAATAATAGTTCAGGATGTTTATCCTCAGAGTTCACTTCCCTTGGGCATCTTATACACCCCCAGGGGCGGACTGACTTTTCGAGCACTCGGGCACTGCCCGAGGTCAGTAGGGGGCCCCATGAAATGCCCCGGTACCTTTTTATAGGCTTTTTTTGAATGTGGGAAAGGACACAGGGGCCCCATGATCCCCTATTTCCCAGGGGCCCCATGAGTTGTCAGTCCGCCCCTGTACACCCCTTACCCTATCCAAGTTTAATCCCCTTAATAAAATAACACAACCATCGCTCAAGGCCTGATTTCTGTCTATGGATGAAAGCTTGTGTGGAAAAATGCTGACTGGCTGTGCTATAGGGGGACCCCAATTCAACAGCAACCCCTAAGGGGGTAGTGCTACATCTACAAAGAGGAGCTACACTGGGGTATACTGGATGAATGTATGGAGAATTCAATGCTTTGTTTGGATATAATTGTTTAGTTAGTCTAGTGGTCCATTTTCTCACATGGAATGCATGGTGTCCAGTCTCTATCTGGCATAATGTCCTTCCTGTCCAGTGGTGACCAGCATTTTGCATAGGGTGGAGAAACAATCATGGGGCTTGGTTGGAGGCATGGATGGGTTTTAAGCTTTTCTGAGTTCCAGTTGTCTTTCTCCAGGGTTGTGGCTGTCTCTCTCTCATCCCCCATTTTTTTTTTCTACTCCTTACTTCACCGCCTCCTGCCCGCCATAAAAGGGAATGACGGGCGCAAGGCGGTTTTCTGGTTCTGGGGGGATGTCATATGATGTTTCTACCACTCTAACCGTGCGTGCATGGTTCCAGGGGGCGCGCAGTGCGGCAATCGGTGGTGAGCTGTGTCCCTCAGACACCTATCAATGGAAAGAGCTGAAGATGTTGGCTCAGTCATGTGATCAGCTGTGTCCAATCACAGCTGATCGCATGTAAATAAGGAAATGTCTGTTATCGGCATTTCTCTCCTCACGGGCTGTCACGCTGACAGAGGAGAGGAGAGCCGGTAATCAGCATTACTCAGAGGGGACATCTATGATCCGTGTAGCCCCAGCAGTGCCACCTGTCAGTGCCTATCAATGCCATCTGAGTGCTCATCCGTGCCTCGTCAATGTTACATATGAGTGCCCATCTGAGCTGCCTTTCAGTGCCAGTCAGTGCCACCTATCAATTCTAGTCAGTGCCGCCTATCAGTGCCACCTAACAGTGACAGTCAGTGCCGCCTATCAGTGTCATGTATCAGTGCTGCCTTTCAGTGCCCATCAGTGATGCCTGTCAATGCCCATCAGTGCCACCTACCAGTGCCTCCTCATCAGCGCCCATCAGTGCCACCTATCAGTCTCCATCACTGAAGCCTCATTAGCGCACCTCAGTGAAGGAGAAAAATCACTTATTTACAAAATTTTATAACAAAAACTAAGAAAAAACTTTTTTTTTCAAACGTTTTTGGTTTGTTTATCAAAAAAAATAAAAAACCCCGAGGTGATTAACCACTTCCCGTCTGGCCCATGTATATAAACGGCTGGACGGCAGCCCCTTCTTGTGCGCGCTCCCTGGGACACCGATCGTCGTACGGGTCATCTGTGCGAGGTCCCGATCATGTGATCACTGATTGGCCAAACAGTGATCACATGCAGAGTAGTAAGCAAGATGTCACTTCTGACATGATTGCTTACTACGTTAGGCAGGAAGGGGGTAGAAGTGCCCTGTAGGCAGGAAGGGGGTAGAAGTGCCCTGTAGGCAGGAAGGGGGTAGAAGTGCCCTGTAGGCAGGAAGGGGGTAGAAGTGCCCGGTAGGCAGGAAGGGGGTAGAAGTGCCCTGTAGGCAGGAAGGGGGTAGAAGTGCCCGGTAGGCAGGAAGGGGGTAGAAGTGCCCTGTAGGCAGGAATGGGGTAGAAGTGCCCGGTAGGCAGGAAGGGGTAGAAGTGCCCGGTAGGCAGGAAGGGGGTAGAAGTGCCCTGTAGGCAGGAAGGGGGTAGAAGTGCCCGGCAGGCAGGAAGGGGGGGTAGAAGTGCCCGGTAGGCAGGAAGGGGGTAGAAGTGTGGGGGTAGGCAGGAAGGGGGTAGAAGTGCCCTGTAGGCAGGAAGGGGGTAGAAGTGCCCTGTAGGCAGGAAGGGGGTAGAAGTGCCCTGTAGGCAGGAAGGGGGTAGAAGTGCCCTGTAGGCAGGAAGGGGGTAGAAGTGCCCTGTAGGCAGGAAGGGGTAGAAGTGCCCTGTAGGCAGGAAGGGGGTAGAAGTGCCCTGTAGGCAGGAAGGGGGTAGAAGTGCCCGGTAGGCAGGAAGGGGGTAGAAGTGTCCTGTAGGCAGGAAGGGGGTAGAAGTGCCCTGTAGGCAGGAAGGGGGTAGAAGTGCCCTGTAGGCAGGAAGGGGGTGGAAGTACCCGGTAGGCAGGAAGGGGGTAGAAGTGCCCGGTAGGCAGGAAGGGGGTAGAAGTACCCGGTAGGCAGGAAGGGGTAGAGGTGCCCGTAGGCAGGAAGGGGGTAGAAGTGTCCTGTAGGCAGGGAAGGGGGTAGAAGTACCTGGTAGGCAGGAAGGGGTAGAAGTGCCCGGTAGGCAGGAAGGGGTAGAAGTGCCCGGTAGGCAGGAAGGGGTAGAGGTGCCCGGTAGGCAGGAAGGGGGTAGAAGTGCCC